ACTATCTTCAACAGCACCATTCTTTTGTTCTATCTTCAACAGCACCATTCTTTTGTTCTATCTTCAACAGCACCATTTTTATCTGACTATCTTCAACAGCACCAATCTTTTGTTCTATCTTCAACAGCACCATTCTTTTATCTGACTATCTTCAACAGCACCATTCTTTTATCTGACTATCTTCAACAGCACCATTCTTTTGTTCCATCTTCAACAGCACCATTCTTTTGTTCTATCTTCAACAGCACCATTCTTTTGTTCTATCTTCAACAGCACCATTCTTTTGTTCTATCTTCAACAGCACCATTCTTTTGTTCTATCTTCAACAGCACCATTCTTTTGTTCCATCTTCAACAGCACCATTCTTTTGTTCTATCTTCAACAGCACCATTTTTTATCTGACTATCTTCAACAGCACCATTCTTTTGTTCTATCTTCAACAGCACCATTCTTTTGTTCTATCTTCAACAGCACCATTCTTTTGTTCTATCTTCAACAGCACCATTCTTTTATCTGACTATCTTCAACAGCACCATTCTTTTATCTGACTATCTTCAACAGCACCATTCTTTTGTTCCATCTTCAACAGCACCATTCTTTTGTTCTATCTTCAACAGCACCATTCTTTTGTTCTATCTTCAACAGCACCATTCTTTTGTTCTATCTTCAACAGCACCATTCTTTTGTTCTATCTTCAACAGCACCATTCTTTTGTTCTATCTTCAACAGCACCATTCTTTTGTTCAGACTATCTCCAACAGCACCATCCCTTTGTTCTGATATCCCAATTACCAGGTTCGAAGCTCCGGAAACCCAGTGTTTTACAAGTTCCCGAGCCATCTTAATGAAATTAATTCCACTCAAGCAGATAAACCGTGCCAGAGGCCTAGCAGCGATAAGCCTACATGATCTTGACACAAATCTCCTATGATACTCCCATTTTTATTTTAGCTTGAACATTTCTGATTCTATTCATTATCACCGTCTTGCCGGGGATAGTGATTCATTTAAAGGGGAACAAACCATCACTGTTTTCACTCCACCTTTTTTTTTAATATGAAAGGGAAGTAACCGGTCTCGCAACGTTAAAAGGTCGCGGCTAATTTCATCAGTATAGCCTGTCCAGTTTAACGAGCAAGGTAATTCTAGACACCCACTCTAATGGCGGCTAGTGCTCACTCCACCCCCTCCCCCACCCCCTCCCCCACCCCCAACGTCTCGCCCGAGGCCAGATTGTGAGTGTGATTGTTATCTTATTGGCGAAGCCTGGTGTAATACGGCCCTTTTTTTGGACCTGTTACCGTTTTTTCTTGTCTAGCATGGCTATCGATTTGAGAGAGGTCAGCGTTGAACTGTTGATCAAGTCACTATGTCAAAGTCCGAAAATTAATATCGATTTTCACAAAGCACTTGCATTTGACCATTTGTGTAACCCATGCATCGATGTTACGGAGTATATGTTACCGGCAAAGTAGGAAAACCAGACATTCGATAGAATGCCTAGGCAATGTATACAATCTCTGGCGTTTTCAGGCAAAATATGAAATATCGCGCGTTGTTATATACTTTTCCTAGACTATATAAAACGGACAGGGATTATACAGTATGACAAGAACTGCTCAGGCAAAGTGCGAAATGTCCACATTGCAAAGTTCTTTAGAAACAGACAGTCAAACATTGAAAGAAGAAAAAACACAAAACGAATAACAGCAAATCTATATTACATAAAATATCTAAGAATGATTGAAAAAGTCTTTAGTAACGAACAGTTATATTGAGGGATTGTGAAAGATTGAAGAAAAACTGATACGGCTACTATATTACTCTTATGTATCCATGTACAGTGGCGTAGGCAAGGGGGGGGGGGGGGTTCGAGGGGGGTCATAACCCCCCCCCCCCCATAGACCCCTCGGTATATATATATAAAGTATGAGGGGGTGTAAATCGAAAGTTTGAGGGGGGGTGCAAATCGAAAGTTTGAGGGGTGGGGGGGGGGGGGGTGCAAATCGAAAGTTTGAGGGGGGGGGGGGTGCAATCGAAAGTTTGAGGGGGGGGTGCAAATCGAAAGTTTGAGGGGTGGGGGGGGGGGGGTGCAAATCGAAAGTTTGAGGGGGGGGGGTGCAAATCGAAAGTTTGAGGGGTGGGGGGGGGGGGGGTGCAAATCGAAAGTTTGAGGGGGGGGTGCAAATCGAAAGTTTGAGGGGGGGGGTGCAAATCGAGAGTTTGTCCCCGGGTAAAAATTGGAACCCCCCCCCCATTGAGGCGATCCTGGTTACGCCACTGTCCATGTATGTTGCAGACACATGAATCAATCAAAAGAAAATTGTGCCTATTTAACTTCTAAGAAATCAGCTGTCACAATCTAAATGCATGGATCGCATCTGAGGATCTCAAGCGCAACAAGTTTACATTGTCCCAGGTAATGAATGATCAGGCAGACTTGACTACAATGCTTGTGGACTTGTGGTCTACCGATAATTCCTGGATTCTAATTATTTGGGCAACAGTCTTGTTTGTAATAAAACCATGTGTAGACATCAGAAATATTTTCACATACATGTTTTCAATTCCAGTTTGCACCTACGGGCAGGTGACACTTTAGCAATAATAATTGATTGGTGAAATTCGGCTACAGAAGGTTTATTTTATTCAAGCGCGGTTTGAACAAACTGAAATTTAGTTCTTGGTCAGAGTTTCTTCCAGGCATCTCCCGAAAATTTTTTACCGCCCTCCCGAACGAAATGAAATGTATATAATTTATATAGAAAATATTTACTTTTAACAGTGTCCGCCACCCCGAAGAAAGTCTACCGCCCCCCGAAAATTTCAAGTGCCCCCCCGGAGAAAAAAGTCTGGAAGAAACACTGTTCTTGGTTATCTTTGTACGTGTACGCGTACGTGTATTATGCGTGAACGTGTACGTGAACGTGTGCGTAGTCGTGTGCCATATTTTGTGTTTGCATATGCGTGTACTTTTGCGTGTACGTATACGTGTACGTGTGTAGTCTGTTTACATGTGTTGATTCGTGATTTATTTTCATGTGTTTAAGTGTGATTGATTTTCATACGTTTATTTGTGATTCCTTTTCTTAAAATTGTTTTTGATTTACTGACAATGTTTTGCAACAGAAACTTTTTGTGACTCCATCTTTAGCTCCGCGTGTAGGTTGGAGCGACTGCGCATGTCAGCAGGAGAATCAATCACCGGAAATAATTCGAAAATGATACACAAACAAAAAAATTCACAACAGCAATTTTAGCATGCATCTGACGAGATTTCTTATTAGATAAGACGGGTGTTATCTGGGAGAATGAAAGCGTCTGGCCGTTTCTTGTGCAACGTCTACTCTGCTGCACCCACCATAACTGAATCACTTGTATAAGGCGATTTCCCATGGCAGCTATTTTACTTACTGTTTTTTTTTTAAAGTTTTATTTGAAAGTTTTAATCAAAGCTTTCCGCACTCTTAAAGCAAACTATTTTCGACATGCTTCAAACCAGAGTTTCTTCCAGGCGAAGCCCCCCCCCCCCCCGAAAAAAAATCTACCGCCTCCCCCCGAACGAAATGAAATTTATATAATTTATATAGAAAATATATACTTTTAAAGGTGTCCGCCCCCCGAAAATTTCAAGAAAAAAGTCTGGAAGACTTCAAACAGCGGCAATGAGGAAGAAAACAAATTAAAGATTCTTAACAAGCACTCGTTTTAAGCTATACCAGAGTTTCTTACAGGCATCTCTTCTCTGTGTGTGTGTGTGGGGGGGGGGGGGGGGCGGTTAGGGGGGCGAAGCACATCTACCACCCTTTTCCCAAACGAAATAGAATTTATATCGAGAATATATACTTTTACCAGTGTCCGCCCCAGAAAATTTAGTCCCCCCCCTCCCTCCGCGAGATTTTCAAAAAAGTCTGAAACACAGAACTATATAGGTTATATTTGTCCAGTAAAATTTTAGCACCCGGAATTACTTTTATATGTGTTTCTCCTTACAGAAAGGGCGTATTACTTGAAGGTGCTCCATCCTATTTTTCTATGAATTCATGCCCAGTGTTCCTTTCAGACGTTTTTCTCCCATGCGGGGAGGGGGGGAGGGCACTTGAAATATTCGGGGGGGGGGGGGGGGGGGGGGACGCACACTGGTAAAAGTATATATTTTCTAAATGAAATTCAAAGAATTCTATTGCGTTCGTGGGGAGAGCGGTAGACACCCCCCTCCCCCACCAGAGATGCCTGGAAGAAACTCTGTTCATGTCCGTAGATTACTTGCCACAGTAATGTGGACATACTTTTACACCGGCACTTCTCTTCATCAAATGTACTGCAAGAATCTCTACGAGTTTCCGTCGTCTTGTTGGCAACATTCCATAAACATTTCGCAATCTTTCAGCCTCTGATTATAATTGCTAATTAATCGAATACAAAATTGCCACCGTGTTTAAAAATAGTTTTGACATTGATATGACGGAACCGCTTTCAGAGAAGTTATTTCGAACCCTACCCCTCCCCCCCACACTCTTGTATAATTACCCCACCACCACCCACCCACACACCCTGCCGTTGACGAAACTGTTTTCGAACAGCTCGCCGATGAGATTTAAAACAACTTCCTGCCTACTTCCTCTGCAGCCCCGCAAGTCCAGTGTTCCACATGCAAGTGCCCTTCTAAATTGCTTCGCTGTGTCCATTGCTGCTTTGAATATAGACGATGATTACATCAAGGGGTAGCAAACTCCACGTCCACTGCTGCCAATATGGTGCCTTATTACTTCCTGTACTTGGTCGACCTGTGCGTAAAGTAATAACGCAGTTATCCCCCCTTCCCGCCTCTCACACATGCGCAGCCATGTTAGGTAGACGTCTGTGGAAATCTCGCACCGACCAATGGCGAGAGTTGGAGGCTCGAGCGAGGCGACCAATCGCGAGGCGAGGGCCCAGGTCCCGTAACTAAAGAGCGCTAATAGTTAGGGGCGCCTGTATATAAACGGGGCATCACCGTGGCAGTAATGGCGGGGGATACTAGGTTAAATACAAGCTGGCCTCAAGTGTTGGTTCACTCCATTCATAGATTCGTTCTTTTGTTAGAGGTAAGTTATCCTTTTGTTAGAGGTAAGTTATCATTTTGTTAGAGGTAAGTTATCCTTTTGTTAGTGATAAGTTATCCTTTTGTTGGAGGTAAATATTCTTTTTGTTAGAGGTAAGTTGTCCTTTAGTTAGAGGTAACTTTTCCTTTTGTTAGAGGTATGTTATCCTTTTGTTAGAGGTAAATTTCCCTTTTGTTAGAGTAAGTTATCAGTTAAGTTATCCTTTTGTTAGTGATAAGTTATCCTTTTGTTAGAGATAAGTTGTCCTTTTGTTGGAGGTAAATTTTCCTTTTGTTTGAGGTAAGTTATCATTTTGTTAGAGGTAAGTTATCCTTTTGTTAGATGTAAGTTATCCTTTTGTTAGGGGTAAGTTTTCTTTTTGTTAGAGGTAAGTTATCAGGTAAGTTATCCTTTGTTAGAGGTAAGTTGTCCTTTTGTTAGAGGTAAATTGTTAGGTAAGTTATTCTTTTGTTAGCGGTAAATTTACCTTTTGCTAGAGGTAAGTTATCCTTTGTTAGAGGTAGATTTTCATTTTGTAGAGGTAAATTATCCTCTCATTAGTGGTAAGTTATCCTTTTGTTAAAGGTAAATTTTCCTTTAATTAGTGGTAAATTATCCTGTCATTAGATATGATAGTTATTCTTTTATTAGAGGTAAGTTATCCTTTTGTACGTGGTAAGTTATGTGTTGGGTATTAGTAACATATCGTTATTATTATCTATATATATAATTCTCTTCTTCGAGCCGTTAGAAAACAAGCTGCAAACGCTCTCCCTACCTCCCCACCCCTACATGGTTTTAGTGAGCTGTGTTCACTCTAAATGTTTACAAGCAGAGCCAACGATTTTAAACGTAGGGGGGGGGGGGGAGGAGGGGGGGAGGGAAGGAAGGGGGGGGGGGGGGTTATGGTCCTTAACGAGCTACTTATAGTGTTTTAAAGAAATATTTTCAGTGTCAGCGTTGGTACTGTCGAATTCACAAATTATGAATGATTGAAAATTAGAAACAACTAAATAGCGACGTATGTTATGCCGCGGGCCGGCTCGTTATTATTAATATTAGAGTTATGAAGTGTTATATTTTTTGTTTAAAGGATACTGGCGGCCCTAGATTGGGCGACACGTGTGTGATATCTCATTATGTTGCCCGCATATTTGCACAGTTTCTTCCAGGCATCTCTTGGGGGGGGGGGGGGGGGGGGCGTTCTATCCCCCCCCCCCCCCCCCCACCCCCCGAAAAAAAATGGAATTTATATAGAAAACATATACTTTTACCAGTGTCCGCCACCTCCCCCCCCCCCCACGGAAAATGTTGACCGCCTCCCCCCACCCGATAATATTAAGTGCCCCCCCCCCACCCGGAGAAAAAAGTCTGGAAGAAACACTGCATATTTGTACTACATACATAATGATAACCAGTGCTTTTTCGTGGGGGTGGGGGGGGGCATTAGACGTGTTCTCGTAAAACGATATTATCAGATGATGCTTAGCCATCACACTTCGGTTACAGGAACATAATTGGTTGAGAAAATGAGCAAAATCAAGTAAACATCTGAACAGAGAAAGGTGATGGAAAAGCTAAAATTGTATTTTAAATACAAGTCTATACCATTTAAATTTATAAAAATCAAAATCTACTTACACGGTAGAAGCTACCGACTAGACTAGAGTCCATCATTCACGCTACGCGGCTGTATGGTCTCTGTTAGACATTGAACTGGATTTCCTGATCTACGAACAAGCTTGTCTCTGGCTTCGGTCAACAGGTGGAAACGTTGATAAAGACCACTCGCCCTGGAAAAAAGAATAACTGGATTCCATTGTTACTATAGGATACAAAATTTTTAACTATGATTATGATATTTGAAGACCACTCGAGATAAACCAAAGATGTCAATTTTTGGAATTTTTTTTATTTAGGACCATATTCATGTAGTATTAGGGGGTTGTCCATAAATGACGTCTCACTTGTAGGGGGGAGGTGGTCCGTATTTTTGTGACGGTGTGTGATGAGGGGAAGGGGTTCAGATGGTGCGACGTCACACTTTTGCATTATCAAAAAGTAATGTTAGAAAACTAATTTTAGACGTTATTTTGCTTTTTAGAAAACTGTTTTAATAAATTGTATTAGGAATCGATTAAAGTACTCTATTTTGACAGAGTTCAGACAAGATTTTTGAAAAATAACGATGCTTAAAAAAAAAATTCATTTGCAATTTTGAGGGGGGGGGGGGGTTGTAGGCTGAGGTGTGACGTCATTTTAGGAAGGGTCTGGCTTTTTGTGACGACGTGTGACGGAATGGAGGGGGGGGGGGGGGTAAAAAATCGTCAAAAAAGCGTAACGTCATTTATGGATGACCCGTAGTGTGTATCTATCACTATAACAATATCACATAAAACCACCTCCATCCCCTCAAGAATTAGGTTTTTAAAATCATGCCACAATAGAACAGCAAAGGAACACAAAATCTCATTTTTCTCATAAGTAGAAAACTGTGACAACTGTGGTTTATCCCCTGTGGTCTTCATTTGTTTTCAGCTTCAAGTAGTCTACTTGAAAAACATCCAATACATTCACTGATGTTGACATTGTACAACGCATAAAACTATGAAAGCATGAAACCGTCCATTCACAAGATACTAGTTTCACTACACCTTTGTTGTTCACCTCATCTTTGGCTATTTAACATCATCTACAATTCAGCTGTATTTTACTACATACCAGACTCATGAATAAAATTTAAGTGAATTAACCAATCGTTTCTTTCAACACATTTACTAGTTATTTTTAATACATTCAATAGTTTCATTCAACATTATCAGCAAGGAATCCTTATGTCGCCACAGAATCACCTTTTACTAATTTATCATCATAATGTTATGTTAGATTTCTGACTGCTCTTCCGAGTTTCTTCCAGGCATAGGGCGGAGCCCCCCACCCCCACCCCATAAGAAAGTCTACCAACCCCCGAACTAAATGGAATTTGTATAGAAAATATAAACTTTTATTAGCGTTCGCCCCCCCCCCCCCTGGAAAATTTAGTCCGCCCCCCCCCCCCCACCGAAAATATCAAGTGCCCCCCTCCCGGAGAAAAAAGTCTGAAAGAAATATTGATGCTTGTTTTATCATCTCATGCTCATGGTTAATATTTTATCTTAATTTTAGTGTACTCGGTTGTTACTTCTAATCGTTACATTAAAGACATGTTGACCAATCTATTCCTAATCAATCTTTCCCCAATGCTAACGCCTTTCCGTTCATAATTAGTCAAAATCACAATAACAATCATACTTTACTTTATAGGTCGAAAAAAAATAATTTTCACTTTCTTCATGTTGACAGATCATTGTTAGGAACCTGACAAGAAAGAAAGCCTGATCATTAATTAATCCCATATCAAAGCGTCAGTCAAGATGAAACTAGTGGCCATCGTGCTAGCCCTCACGGCGCTGTCTGACCGCTGCTCCACGTCTGTCCACCTGGTCCAGTCGGCCGGCCCCGCGCCCAACTCCACCCTGGACTACCTGGCCAGGACCCTGGACAGTCTGCAGCTGGCTCTCGGCTTCTTCCAGAGGGAGCATCGCCACGTCAATCTGGACGCGATCATCGGGACACGTGTGGTAGAAGGTGAGTACATCCCTGGGGGAGGGGGACGTGCTCTGATGTTACAATTATGTCTGTTGTCACGGGGGGGGGGGGGTAGTTATGTTGTTACTGGGAGAGGCTATTTCTGCTGTTGCAGTGCGGGCCAGTGGGGGGGGGTGCGCTCTTTCTGTTGTCACATGATGGGGCTATTTCTGTTTTGCCGGGGGGGGGGGGGGGATATTTCTGTTGTTACATAAGATACTGTTTTGGTGGTCACAGGGCGGGGGGGGGGGGGGACTCTTCAGGTCACTAGTGGGACGGGGGAATTTTAGAATTTGCTGTTTTTTTTTTGCCGTAAAACTGCGTTTGGATCGACATACTAAAAGAGAAACAAGACACAAATCAAATAGGACAGTTGACGTAGAGTTTGATTGGCTGTACAACGCCATTACATGAGAAGGTTTGAGTTAAAGCAGTGCTAGGGTTAGGATCATTTGTTAAAGGAAAGACCAACACGTCCAAATACAGCGTATCAGTTAGAGCAGGGGGCTCAGGTAAATTGAATATTAGATCTATAGGGGCGTGCACATAAAAGAGCCAGAAAAAAAAGAAACAAACGAACGAACCATCAATGTCTTACCAAACTAGTAGAGTTGATGAAAGAAACAGATAGGGTCAGCAGTCAATTAAAAATTGATTATAATTGCCCATTAAATTCCAGCCTTTTGAATTTTTCTTCTAGATTTAACTATGAGAAATGTTTTTAAGATATCGATTTATTTATTGTAAAATAAAAAGTGGATGTTTTTTGTGTGCAATACACATTACACGTTAATATTTCTTTGTGATATTATAATAGAATTTTACATTTAAAAAAAAATAAAAAATATGTGAATATATTTGGCTGTAATAAAACTAGATCTATTTTTAGATGTAGGGGTCACGGAGTCATAGCCACAGGGGTGGATTGTCTTTGGTGTGGGTGGGTTAATGAGGTTACGAGTGAGGATGGTGTAGGAGGTACTATAAGAGGTGGAGGGCAACAGGTGGTAGAGGGTACTATAAGGATGAAGGATGAAGGGTATTGTAGACCGCTCAAACTGAGACCCACATTCTTCAACAAAAAAGAATGTCTGCACTAAATTCAGCTAATTAATGAATACTGTGGGAGACACAGGATATATTTAAATAGAAAAAAAAAATTCTACTGTGGAAATTCTGATGACGCAATGCTCCTATTTTTATGAAACTTTTCATTTGTGTCTATGTATTGTGTCGAATTTAATAAGAGTTGACTTAAGTCTTTGCGATGTGCTGAAATAGAACAAGCAGCATAGTTATCATTGTTTCTTTCACACTTTTTTTCTCCGGGGAGTGGGTGGGCACTTGAAGCTTTTGAGGGGGCCGACTTAAATTTCTGGGGGGGGGGGGGGGGTGGGGGGACACTAGTTAAATATAGTTAATTTAGTTAATATAAAGTAAAACATGTTTCTATTTCGTTTGGGGGATAGGGTGAACGTACTCCCCCCCCCCCCCCCACCCCGTGCCAACGGAAGCCTGAAAGAAACTGATTTTTTTTTTAATAAGGGGCTTTAAATTACTCGCTGTTAAGCATGCAGTAATGTCTTATATTGGAAACACTTTAAAGTCGTCTGTTATATAGAGCCTACCTACTGAATTTTAACATATGATAAAAAAAAACAAGAATAAAAGACAAATTAAACGTGAATCTTATTTACTAACTAATCCAGTAATAAAAGTTTAGGGCCGTCTAAAATCAAGTAAACAGAATTCGCATGGTATACGTGGTCAGCTTGTTAGAATATGTAAATATCACACAACTTTTAATATAAAATAAACATATAAACAATTATAATAACTAAAATAATAAATCACATATTTAATTTCTCAGAGCTGTAATAAAAATTACCCCCACGACAGTAATACAACGACATAATCGAGTGGACAATTCACTTAGTAATTTTAGAACCTTTGGTATCTCTCCTGTTAAATATCTTTTTTTTTTAACCGTCAAGATCAATGTATGAAATAGGAATTTACTTGCGCTAACCCTAGCGCCGGCTGTCCTGCCCGCTCTGAACAAATCTAATTGCCGGCGTCTTGATAATATCACGGACTGTTTATGCCGCTGGGACAGGGCTATCCATTATTGCCGCCCCCATCTCAGGGAACTTTTACGTTTCCAGACTTTATAGAAATGCTGGCATTTTGTAAGAAAAGCCATATTTCACCGCTCTTGACCTTCGGTTCTGGGGGTCAATGAAGTTCTAGTACAGAGTATTTTCTCCGTATACGACGATGGCGAAAAAATGTAGTGTTGGGTGTAATGGAGGTGGGATGATAGAGTTCGTAAGACGAGGTACATTGTGTCCATTTGAATAGCTGGACAGAGATAATGACAGGGGCTATAGAGAACATAAAGTGCAAGATATTCAATCGTTTCTTCTTGGATATTTGAAGATCATTATCTCTTGCCTGCCTTTTTGTCTATGTTGACTTTTGTCTTGTCGTTTCGATTATGATTAGTTTAAGAGGGTGTGTGCGATTGAATGGCGTTTGATGGTGTTGGCGATGGTGCTCTTTTGTGAACAGGAATTAGGAATATCAAGAAATAACGAGATAGAAAGTGACGTTTAGACTTCTAAAGGCGATCATTAACATTTATAAATACTAAACATTATGTTTTGAACTTAACACTCAGACACATTAGAAAATTATGTTTTGAACTTAACACTTAGACACATTAGAAAATTATGTGTTGAACTAAACACTCAAACACATTAGAAAATTATGTGTTGAACTTAACACTCAGAAACATTAGAAACTTATGTTTGAACTTAACATTTAGAAATATTATAACGTTAGGTTTTAGCTAGAAGCGACGCAGCCTGATTGGTCGTTGACCACGAGCCGTCTTGACTCGAAAATTCCACAAAGTCCGCAAACTGCGGCAGATATCTCGTATGCGGCTCATTGGAGAAACGAATGCGGTCAGTTTTCATTCTATGTAAAGTGGCTACTATGGAAAATAACAAAAGCTTTTGTAATGCATTCGTGACAATGGGAGCTGTTGTAATACTTAAATTGTCCAAAAAAGTATACCTTTTAACTTTTTCAGGGTAATCAACCTTCACACACTGATATAAACATAACAGATTTAGAGACTAGCTAAGAATTCGGTTTATAAAATACAAATCGATCGAATATAGAACGTCAGATTTTGATTTCGATCACTTGTATTATTTTTTATTGAGTGATCGGCGAGCAAACTTGAGCCCTGAGCTAACTTGAGTTCTGAGCTAACATCAGTTCTGAGCTAACATCAGTTCTGAGCTAACATCAGTTCTGAGCTAACATCATTTCTGAGCTAACATCAGTTCTGAGCTAACATCAGATCTGAGCTAACTTGTTCTGAGCTAACATCAGGTCTGAGCTAACATCAGGTCTGAGCTAACATCAGGCCTGAGCTAACATCAGTTCTGAGCTAACATCAGTTCTGAGCTAACATCAGTTCTGAGCTAACATCAGATCTGAGCTAACTTGTTCTGAGCTAACATCAGGTCTGAGCTAACATCAGTTCTGAGCTATCATGAGTTCATCTCTCACACCGCGGGTCAAACCCTGTCTAACGTTACAACTCAACGCCCCCACCAAAAACTTGCTTGATCCACCCCGTCAGACCGCCCAGAGCCGCACGTCTGCAAATATCAGATCCACGTGTCCGGAGCCAATCGAGCGCGACCACCGGTCAGGTTATCACGTGACTTGTCAAGCTAGATGGCCGTGAAAAATTGGGTGTCATGTGTGAGTGTCGTCATACAACCCCACATCGATCCCGTGTGTGGCGGTCAAGACAATAACACCGCACTCAGCGGCGTATGAAACGGTGAGCTGCCGCCATTTTGTTGCAACGGTTGTGTTAACTGCGGCGACAACACTTTCAGAATAAAGAGCTTAGTAGACATTATTTACGCAAAAAAGTAGCAGTAGAAGCTAGATTTTAATCGCCATATTTTAACTTTGATAATCATTTTAGTTCGAAAGAATACTTTAACCTCAAGAAACTTGGTTTAAAAAATTCATACACGGGCTTATCCCTTTAGCAATCACATTAGTTTTTATATCAAGCGAGCGTCACTTACGGCCAGACAAAACGAAGCTAAACACGACCACTGAGTGTCAAGAGCCTTGGTCAAGATGTTAGCAATGGACTTTGATGTCAAAATGATGGGACTGAACCTTGATGTCAAGATGATGGGACTGAACCTTGATGTCAAGATGATGGGACTGAACCTTGATGTCAATATGATGGGACTGAACCTTGATGTCAAGATGATGGGACTGAACCTTGATGTCAAGATGATGGGACTGAACCTTGATGTCAATATGATGGGACTGAGCCTTGATGTCAAGATGATGGGACTAAACGTTGATGTCAAGATGATGGGACTGAGCCTTGATGTCAAGATGATGGGACTGAGACTTGTGTCAATATGATGGGACTGAGCCTTGATGTCAAGATGATGGGACTGAGCCTTGATGTCAAGATGATGGGACTGAGACGATGTCAAGATGATGGGACTGAGCCTTGATGTCAAGATGATGGGACTGAGACTTGATGTCAATATGATGGGACTGAGCCTTGATGTCAAGATGATGGGACTGAGACTTGATGTCAATATGATGGGACTGAGCCTTGATGTCAAGATGATGGGACTGAGCCTTGATGTCAAGATGATGGGACTGAGACGATGTCAAGATGATGGGACTGAGCCTTGATGTCAAGATGATGGGACTGAACCTTGATGTCAAGATGATGGGACTGAGCCTTGATGTCAAGATGATGGGACTGAACCTTGATGTCAATATGATGGGACTGAGCCTTGATGTCAAGATGATGGGACTGAGACGATGTCAATATGATGGGACTGAGCCTTGATGTCAAGATGATGGGACTGAACCTTGATGTCAATATGATGGGACTGAACCTTGATGTCAAGATGATGGGACTGAGCCTTGAT